GAAAGTACGGAAAGAGTGGAACAGTGCAGAAGCAATTCTGTTAATAAGCACTTTGCCTTCTGACTTTACCTTGCCAGCAACAGTTACATGCCCCTGGCATGGGATCCTAATGTGCAAGGGCTCATTAGAGAACATAAGTTCCTTAGCTTACATCCAGGGTTTAAAAGTCTACTGTACACTGGGCTCAAATGTCTTCTCCAAACTTATTTTCCAATATTTGCTACTTCTTACATGGGTGCTTCACTCCAATGGTTTTCTTCCCTGTCATGTCAAATAACCACTCATCAGAAATGACCTCCTTTATCCATTATCTTCCCACTTCCAAATCTCAATCAGCTTAATTTATCTCAAAGGCTAACTTACATGCCCCTGGCATGGGAATCCTAATGTGCAAGGGCTCATTAGAGAACATAAGTTCCTTAGCTTACATCCAGGTGTTAAAAGTCTACTGTAACACTGGGCTCAAATGTCTTCTCCAAACTTATTTTCCAATATTTGCTACTTCTTACATGGGTGCTTCACTCCAATGGTTTTCTTCCCTGTCATGTCAAATAACCACTCATCAGAAATGACCTCCTTTATCCATTATCTTCCCACTTCCAAATCTCAATCAGCTTAATTTTTACTCAAAGGCTAACTGCTCCAACACCTTTCCATTCATGCTTCTGGATATTCTCTTTTCTTTTTCTGAATTCTCAGTGTTGGCTGAACTTTAATTAAATCACATGCACTTTCACTCCTGTGTTAGCATCATAACTTTGCACAGATCCCTGTTAGGATATAAGCACTTTCAAAGGTAAGACCCACATCAGCTCCCAACACCAGCAAGGGATTAGCTTGCAAGTAATATGTGCTTGGATGTTTTTCACATGAAGAATGTTTTCCTTTAATAATCCAAACTAACTTGTATTTGTTTATTTTATCTACTTAAAAGAGAATACCATCCATTATTTTCTAAAGGTACTCTCCCCAATAAACCCTTTCCAAAATATGCAGCCTGGCTAATTCTCTTCTTCTCCTACAATGTGGTGTTTAAACTTCCAGGCCTAGAATGTAGACTCTAATCTATTCCTGAAATTTATTAGCTATTGGTTTAGGCACAATATATAAGCATATGTGGAGCAAAATTTCCCAGTCTGCAAATGATAATAGGATCTATTTCACAGGATTATGTTTTTCTATAAGGATGAAATGAGTTAACTTCTGAAGTACTTAAAATAGTGCTGTTGTATGGTAAACACTCAATAAAGTTAGCCATTTTTCCAAATTCTCTCTCATGACTAGTAACCTCCATTTGACAATGATTATTTACCAGTTGGTGACACATGTTGTGTTGCTGCTAGGAACTTACAGTTAAATCAAGTATAATTGATAGGTTTTTAATGGACATATCTTATTTTCTTAAATAAACTGAAAGTCTCTAGGGCATTGGAGAACTCTGATTATTGAGCACATTCTACATGCCAAGAACTTGGCTTAAGTGCTTTCTATAAATATTTCATTCAGTACTCACAGTAACAGTATAAGATAGCTATTATTGCCATGTTATGGATGAAAAGAAAATGAGGATTATAGAGTGAGTCTTTTGCTCAAGTTTTCTCAACTAGTGTATAGCAAAGCTTCTCTATGTGTCCTTCAAGGAGTTACTTAAAAAGTGGTCCTCAGATGTCCACTGAAATATTTTTTATATTTTTTATTTGTTTATCACTCTGTGATTAGGTAAGAGCAGAAACAGAATGTTTAGAAACTTTATAACAATTTAAAAGAGTAATTTTAGTCTCTTAAATCTAATGATATAACTTGGTCCTATTTTCTATTTTTTAAAACTTTTATAATTTTAAATTCATTTTCCTTAAAATTAATTTTAATTATGTGCTATAAAAGTATTGGTTTCCAACAGATTGGGTGGAAAACAGTCTTTATAAAAATTTGAGATGAGCTGATTTAAAGGGTCCAGGCTCAAGTAATACCAATTTTTTCATAAATAATAGTTACATAGCACAGTCCTTGAATGCAAGGATAATAACTTAATCAGTTTCATAGAGTGCTCAACATATAATCATTAACACAATTACCAACCATGGTTAATTTTTGTTATTGATATATGTTTTATCACTATGATATCTGAAGCACATATACTTGGAATTTATCTTTTTGTTTCTAATCTCTAATACAGAGACCTTATTTTTCATTGTTATCATGCCTTGTTTTCATTGAGCTTATTTTAGACTCTAATGTAAATCCTCTTTTCACTGTAGTAACAAAAGTATGCTATACTTGTAGAATATTTTAATATAATTAGAAACCTTTATTGATTTTTTGTTGTTGTTGTGTTGTGCTTTACTATTCCCCATCCATTTGTTCCACTCTTCATTAACTTATGTTTAGTTTTGTTATACTTCCTTGGATTATGCTGCTTCTGCAGTGAATTTACTAGTATAGAAAGATATGCAAGAGAACATTTCTTCCATATCTTTGATTCACCAAAGTGGGAAACTGGGTTTAGGCAGATGGAGGACAGGCCAACCTTACTTATCCAGTCAGGGGCACAGCAGGGAACAGAAGCAGACTTCTTTATTTCCTCTCAGTGTGCCCTTTTAGCTAAGCTACACTGCCACCTGCATACAAATAAATGTTGTGTTTTTCAAGTCCCAGTGACTGCCACTCCATCCACTGTCCAGATTTGGGTTAGCACCCTTAGTTTACCTTTCATTGTGTATTAAACCCCCTTTATAACTATCATATATGTTTAAAAACAACTTTAAAAATTTTTTTAAAAAGGAGGGAGAAGGCATGAAAACAGAAAATACCTGAATAAGCAAAAATTCTGTGTAATTTTCCACCTGGAAAATTTATTTATACTGCTCCTTTATTCATACTGCTCCCCTTTTTCTAAATGTCCTTTAAGGAGCTACTAAAAAATGGTCCTCAGAAGCCTTCCTTCTAATAAGTGCTTATCACTCTGTGATGAGACAACTGCAGAAACAGAGTGAATGTTTAGAAACTACTATAATAATTTAAAACAAGTTTCCTCTTAAATCTAATGATAAAACATAGTTTCCTGTTTTTAAATTTTTCTATATTTTTTTATATATTTTATTTCTATATTTTTAATTTATTTTCCTTGAAATTAACTGGGGGTGAATAAGAAAGTATAACAGAGAGGGTAGATATGATTAAAGTACATTATTTGTATCTACAGAAATGTTATAATGAAACCACTTACTTTGCATAAATAATGTTAATAAAAACAATTTTTAAACAAGAAAATTGAGGGGGATGTAGCTCAGGTGGTAAAACACTTGCCTAGCAAGTTCAAGGACCTGAATTCAAACCTTAGTACCATCAAAGGAATAAGAAAAAAAATTTTTAAGTATATGCTACAGAAATATTGGTCTCAAACAGATTGGGTAGAAAACAGTCTTAACAAAAAACTTCAGAGGTGCTGGTTTAAGGAGTCCAGGTTTAGGTTCCATCAATTCATTTCTTTTCTTCTTCTTCTTCTTATTTTATTTTATTTTTTTCAGGACTCTGTGCTTGCTAGGCAGGTGCCCTACTGCTTGAGCCACTTTTCCAGTACAAGTTGCACCAAATCTTTTATAAAGCATTCCTGATGTTCTTCACAAAGTTTTAAAAAGTTGTAATATCTAACTTTGGCCTTCATATGCTTCTTACTTCTTTCTTCCTAGACTAGTAGTCATTTTTATGTTTGTCTTATCTCTTTTGAACCACTACAACCTCCCTGACAAAATATGTGTCTACAGTACCTCAAGATTGGAATGTAACTCATACACTTATACTGATGAGTTGGAAGGATTAATTGTTACTCACACTTTTGAACAGGAAGAAGTGAAAAACACAAAGAGAACATCATTTTCTGAACTAGGACTGGGAAAGATTTGAGAGTAAAAAGTTTAGACCATACCCAATTCCAAGTTTTTTACACAAATGCTTAGACCAGTGAAACACCTGGATGTACACAGAAACCCTATTTTGGCCTACTGGAAAGCCAATAAATTGTAAAAACATTAAGTCTTAAATTTGTATCTTAACTAACTTCAACAACCACTGAGGTTTTAGTACAAGCATAATAGATGGTAGTCTCCTAATACAATTCTCAGAATTGCTCAATGGTGTGTGTATGCATACTCTGTCTTACATTAGGACTCAAATAGTTTAAGAGTGGAGCCAATACTCCTCATTATGAAATAAGGAAAGAGAAATACAACATTTACTTCAGAAGTTAGTTTTAGACCCCACTCACCAAAGTACTCATCAGCAGGTGGATTTTCCATGTCATACAGCATCTTTTTGGTCAGGTGTTCAAGCTCATCTTCTGGGCGGAATGAAGGGGGAACAGATGGAGGTCCCATAGGACCTGTGTGTCCACCCTGAATGGGAGAAAGCACATAGCCCTTTAACTGCAGTCTAGACATCAACCAAAGCAATCAGCCTGAACAAATACTGTTTGCACTGGGAAGGAAAAAGCACTGGACATGTCCATTTGGAGATATGGGTGGTAGACTAAGATTTATCAGTTACCTAACACCTGACCTTGGACATATCACTATTCACTTGCTTTACATAAGGGAATCATTTATCAGGCTTTAAAAATTCCATGTTTATAATGGTTGGAATCTATTTTGCTCAACAATTGCTAAGCAGTCACTACGTATCATTTGTATATTTATTAAAAGATGACTAAATTGAGTGTTTTCCCTTAAAGACTTCACAGTCAAGATGAAAATCTACAGGCATACTAATAAAAACAAATCAACGGTAGATATTACACAACTGGGTGCAAGGAGGGGTCTCTCACATAAACTGAGAGGGAAGCTTCCCAGGAAAAAGTATCAGAGTGGAGAGGAAGTGTTCAGTAGAAGTTTCTCATGCTCAGATGAAAAACATCACATAGCATGAGCAGCTCCTAGCAGTTGTGTATTGCTATTCATACATTAACATTTGAGATAGGAAAGGAGATGAATCTCAGTGGGCCCAGGGATCTAGAAAGCAGAGGGGTTTTTTTTGTTTCAGTTAAGTAAGTTGAGTAATGTTTTTCAGCTCTACAGACACACACACATCTAATGAAGATGCTAAGTCAGTAGCATTGATACCGGGCTAGAGGGTGAGCCAGAAGTATAGCAATGTAGGAGAATGAAGTATTAAAGAGAGAGTGCTTGAGAAAATCAACTGAAAATCCAAGGTGTATAGAAAAAAAAGGTCACATGCTAGATGTAAAGTGCCATGTACATAAATGTGAACTTGTATATTTCCCTTTTACCACATTAAAACATTTAAATTTCCATGTATAAGCATGGTAAAATGACAAAGGCATATTAATCAATTAATTCAATTGAAAAATAGGATAGCTCATTGATGACCCCACTTTTATAAAGTTTATTAGTTTACAGATCTATATAGAAATAGGAAAACAGTCTGAAAGGTCATATGCTAAAATGTTAAATGTAATGTAAATGAGGAGTGGGAATGCCAGGGGACTAAATCTCTTCCTTTGTTTTACAGTATGTAGCTCTAGTTTTGCAATTCATGACACAGGACTTTCTTACCATGAAGACTTCAAGTGATAAAGATATGCTGAATACTGCTAAAGACCTAGAACAGGCTTCTAACCTGGGTCAAGGGAGGATTCTGAGAGTGGCAAAATATCAGAGTTGAAAAGCCCTTTCTGTGAGTGGGAAAAACAACAAATGGTTCAATGTTAAAACGTTTGGAGAGAGGAAGAAAGAGGAAGGGTCAGCTAATCCCTGCCTTACCATACTGAGGTATTTCAGTTCTCTTCTTAGATTAGGAACTCATGAATGAGATCATAGGCAACTCTAAGAATCTGATGAGTTAAACTTCCTTTTTTGCCAGAAAATAACATCTGTAAAAATGCACACAGACTTTACTTAAAATCTCAAGAGGTTTATAGACTACAGGAAACAAATCTTAATGTTCTTAGGAACACCCAGGCAACAGAAACTGCAATAAGGATTTTTAACAAGGGAATGATTTAATCTGACTTGGAACGTTCTCTCTGAAGTACAAGGTGAATGAGACAGCTATGAGGCTGGAATGAGATGGGGGATTTGTGGCTTGAGACAGTAAAAGGATATATTACATGGAAGCATCTTTATGGCTAAAGTTAGAGATCTAACTATGAACTGACTTGGAGTCATTTGATAAGCTGGTGAAACTTTTATAATTTCAGATTTCAGTGACAGGGCCTTCTCTGACTCTCCCAACCTGCCTGTGAGGGAAGGCGTGTCCCAGTTCAGATAGCAAAATGGAAAATAGAATGGGAAATGGAGCTATATCTTTATTTCCAGGCTTGCAGTTAGGGAGAGCTTGAGACCCAAATATGGTGTCATTTGAATCCAAATTGCATGCACTTCCCCCTCACCAAATATTGTTTCCCATAAAGCAATGCCAGAAAAATATGAATATTATGTCTAATAACAATGAAGCTCTCTATTTTAATTAAGTCAATAGCTACCATGGAGTGCATCCACAGGGAATGGACCCAATTTGTGATCGTCTTAGATTAATATGTACGTGATACCCTTTCAAGTTATGAAGGCAGCAAGAAGGTTGAATCTATCCTCTGTTAATCCCAGTCAGAAATTATGATTTTATCCTTACCAATTACATTACAAGAAGTGAATTTCAAAATATTTACTTTGTCAATATTTCACAGATTTTTAAAAGAAATGTATTTCCTTTTATACTTCAAACATTCCTTCATATTTCTTTGCCATACTGTTTCTGAAATAACAAATATGGAAAAGCTCTTTTCCTTTTAGATTCTATACTTTAATACACAACTGTTTGTTGACTTAATGATTGGGATAAGTCCTGATAAATTCATCGTAAGTTGAAAATATCATTAAGTAAAAAATTCTCTTAATGCACTTAACCTACTGAACATCACAACTTGGCAACATGACAGATTTCTGAGTACTGGTTGTTTACCCTTGTCATCTGGTGGCTGACTGCCAAGTGTAGCTTGTTGCATCTTAAGAAAATATCACTACCTTGTGGAAAAACTCAAAATTCCAAATTTGAAATCTAGTTTCTACTGAATGTATATATTGCTTTTACAACACATAAACTCTAAAAGTCATAAGTAGAATCATGGTAAGTTGGGGACCACCTGTAATATTAATCTTGGATTCCTGTTATTTCTTATAAGGACAGGCATCAAAAGATCATTTCTAAGTATTTCTGAATGTTGTCCACAGGACTCCCCTCATCTCATTACCCAGTACATGATACTTAAAATCTGTGGAATAAATACAGGAAAAATACAAGATTCTTCAGTTAAGCATTGTTTTTGACACCAAGGGAAAGAGTCTAGTACTTTCTCTCAGTGTTCATCCTGTAAGGAGTTCTCATTCTGGAAAACAGACATCCCTATAATCTTTCCCCGAGTGGTGCCTGGGGCTTATCACGCCTAAGAAAAATCAGCAACTGTGTCCAACTAATTTTCCAACAAGCAACTTCTGGCACAGTGTATGGAAAATAAAATACAAATGAAAATACATGGAGGGGGTTTTGGAAGGGAGGACTTGCATTATTTTCTATTTCTTCAAAAGCAGAAGTATGGATGGTAGCAATAGCACATTCACTGTGGCATAATTCTTTATTTGCATGACCTTTTGCAAGGTGCGTACTTTCACAAACGTAATATCAAATGCTTAGACAACAGTCCTGAGTGATATGTAATCATTGTATGAATGAGAAAACTATAGCACAAGAAGTGAGCAATTCTATGTGAAGGAATGCAGCTGAAAAATTGTAAAACCCAGACTACCTTGGTGCCAAGTTAGGTGTATTTCTGCTATTCTGCAATGACATTCAGGATTCCGATACTATTATCTCCAAAACCTTCAAGCTCCATTGTTCTGAAGTGTTTACATTTTGATCTACTGATTCTCTTGAGAATTTTTTTTCTGAGTAGAAGCTTACTGTTCAATAGTAAAACAAAGACACTGTGAAGCAAGCATAAAGTCTTTTAGGCTTTCCTAAAATATTTCACTAATATGTTCATTGAAATTTCAGAACTTCTTAGTATAAGAAAAACAACATTAGAGGGTCTGTCTGTGAGTTTATCAAGTTATAAATTTTAGGGAACTCCAAAATTTTCTTAACATATCCTTCTCTAATAGATTGCCAAGTGCCAAGAACTGTAAATATTAAGTCAAATCATTAAGAGCTTCTGACAACTCATGAAAATAGACAATTATTTAAATATATAAGCTGTAAGACACAGGTGTGAATTCAGTTCTCTGAAATGGGAGAAGGCTGCTGGAAAGAGAAGACTGCTTAGTTTGATCCCAAAGGGCAAAGGAGATTATATAAGAAAGAATGTGAGAAAGATGAAAGAAAGAAAGAAGGAAAGAAAGAGAAGAAAGAAAAAAAAGAGAAAGGAAGACAGGAAAGGAGGAAGGGAGGGAGTGAAAGAGAGGAAAGAAAGAAGGAAGAAGGAAGAAAGGGAGGAAGAAGGAAAGAAGGAAGGAGATACTCTAAGAACAGTATATATATATTAATACATGTGTATCAGCAAAACTCTCAGGAAAAGAGGAGAAACAGCTGGGATAAGGCAAGAGAGTTATGGTCAATGCCAAGACTGATTTAGGTAATAAAAAAAAGTCACTTGGAGATTTTAAAGTGGTGGTTGCCTTTACTAAAGTTATGTTTCTGAAATAAGTATATTGGCCAACATCTTCAAATACCAAAGACATTTTAAAATGCAACCAGATATCATGGTATTTCCAAGCAATTTAATGACTAATATGCTTAAAAAGGTCTCTGATATTTACTTAGTGTGGCAGACACTGTTAATTACTGACCAAAATTTATTTCCTCCTGTCTGGGCACATTTCTCATTCTCTGTCACAGTTAGCTGTGGCCATGTGAGGAACAACAGAAGGGAGACTGGACCCTGAGTTAACACACAAAGGAGAGCAATGCACTCACCAGGCTGATGTGCTTCATATTATTAATGTTATCACTAAGAAATGTGCTCAAAGGCTAATGGTTTTTATTGTTTCCATTTACATGTTTCTGCATTTGCTATTTCTACAATAGTTTTATTTTCTCAGACAAAAATGTCCAACTATCTATAAATGATTCTTGTCTTTGCTCTTCTTTGTCTTGATCAGGGTCCAGGTAACTCAAGGGAAGGCTAACAATGCCAAATTTTCAGTCACATATGGGTCTAGGTCCCTGCTAAATGTCAGGGGTAGGGCTGAGCAATAATGGAGACTTGTTTCTGCAAATAAAGCTACATAGATAGAATCCCTGACAATTCTACCAGATTAAAAAAACATAAATAGCAATATCCATCATGCTTATGTAACACTTCATGGTATTTGAAGTATTTTATATA